GGCCATTTTGTTAATGGCAATCAAAGCTTTCTAACTAGCTAGAGATTAAAGAACCTGCTATGGATGCCAGTTATAGTTCTTAATTCTTTATTACAGTGGTAGAAGCTCATGTGTTTAGTGCTGAAGGTAACATGTCCAAACCCCATTGACAGCCCAAGTGAAGTTACTTATTCTTCACCAAGCAGAGATGTACAGGATAAAGGCCTGAAACTCACTCAAAACTGATGCAGTTTATTTATTCATGGAGAGAATATCAGCCTTGTTTTTCCTTTTGCCGGGGTAATAAGGACACCTGGTTATCTGAGGACAGGTTGTTAATGTGGTGATCCAGGATGCATTGTGAACACCTTCTGTGCATTATTGTGGATTTTAAATCAACTCTCCACCGGGAGCACATGGATCCAAATAAAAACATGCCAACAGGTATAAAATTATAAGATAGAGGCACATGAAATCTTTACAAAGGTTTGGTTTCAACAGGAACCAGTGAGGGGAATTAATTTTGAAGCAGCCATAGACTCTTAGCTGCCTCCAGGCTGCCAGCTAATGATCTCAGCAAGTGTTACTGGGTTTATATTTTAAAAGAAACTCAGATAAAAACACCTTTTCCAGAAATATCATGAGTGACAGCAGGTGCCACATCTTCCTTCAGTTCTGAGGCTATTCAAATGCTCAACCACTATAACCCAGTACCACTCCTTTCTGCAAAACCACAGGGCTTTGTATATTCCCCATAGTCAGCTTGAGTGGGCCTCTACCCTGTACCAGTCATGGGGCAGATTTGTTATTGCCCAACAGTGGTCAGGGTAACAACCACCCAGCTTAACCCATTAGTATTAAATATGAATTTGTAAGGACATTTGCTCCAGTGAAGCAGGCATATGCATTGGTCTCAAAACCGTCTGTCTCCATTTACACTCCATGATTAGGTGATGTGGAGGCTGGGAACTGGCTCTTTGTGCTAGAACAAATTGCGCCCTTAATCTTCAGCATAATATGAATCCCAGCACAACAGCCCTTTTTGTTCTGCATTCTGGCCTTAATTTTAAAGGGGGATCTTTCTTGCTGGAGAAAGATTTCAGACAATTTAGCCTTATACATACTCAGGTTATTATGTGTTTTGTTAAATTAATAACATTCTGGGTGTTGTCCACTAATTTCTCTCCCTCACAGCCAGTATGGCTAAGTGTGATTTACATCATTAGATATTTTAACTTAAAATCCTATGGAGGCAAGGTGTACATACTTTTTACCGCCATATAGCCCCTTGAGGTAAACCCCAAGTGGGATATAAGACTGCAAGAGCATCACACACACTTCTGAGCAATAAGTGAGTTAGATAATGTAACATTTTGTAATTGACTATCATGGCAGAAAGGGACTGATTTAGGGTAGATTCTCTGATCATTGAAGCAGAACTGCCTAGACTAGTCAAAGTGCACAAGGCTCAACCATACACAGCTTACGAGGAGTATATTTAGAGTAGAATCCCCTTACATGTGACCCTCAAACACTGGCACTTTATCTGCTTTGCAATTCCAATTAAAATTTGATTGAATTAATATATTAATAAAAATACTTGTCACTCGCCCCTCCAGTCTCTGTTGATGCTTACAAAAGATGCAAAATCCAATTAACCCTCTTCATTTCCTGCTTCCTAGAACAAAGTGATTCAAATTTGTAATCTAATGGTTGGATCACAAAGACTGAGAAAGTGGACTGTCAGGCAGATTATTGAAATAGCTTCCATTGGAGTAAAAGAACATGGACATATGATGGCTTGGGAAATTTAATGTATATAAACCTTTACTTTCCCCTTTTCACCTTTGATTTTCCTCTGTTGTTCCTAACTTTCCCCCAATCACCAAAAATAAAAGTGAACTCTGGGGGGCTAGAATGTAACAGCGTGGTGAGGACTTGTAAAATACAGTGCTTTCTCTCCCTAGCTGCATGTTCTCCTTAAATTTCAATGTGGAATACTTCATCCAGATGTCATGATGCATGTGTTTCAACATGAATCTCTTCCATTCTACCTTATGTTGGCAGATCATGATTCCCAACCACAATGCGAGAGAGAGAGAGAGACTATTGCTATAATCTCAGGGATCAGAATTGTTTATTCTATGTTATTAAAACAATAGGAGGCAATTTTACCCATTAGGTGTTCAGGGAAGCAGCATGTTCAGATCAGATGCAAACAGCAGATGCCACAGCATGACTATGCACAGAGATGCTGTGTGCTTTTAACCAATGCAGATTTTTTTTCTAAGGTAAGATTAGATCAGATAGCGTAAAGCACCATTCCATTTCCAAAATCTACCACAACAGGGAAAGCTCTCCACCCCATCCCTATGGTAAAGCTAGGTCTCCATCATGCAATATTAATTCTGATAGTTTGCTACTTTGCTGGATTGTGTAGGATAAGCTTACTGTTTCAGCATGCTTGTGTAGTCAGACATGGATGCTAGAAGCATTCAGATGCCATGGTAGATATTCCAACCAGGAATAAATGAGCAGTGCAGTTCTGCTGAAAATTTTCATATTTTTACAGCATAAATAATAAATGTGGCATATTTCCTATTTTCTTTCTCCACTGTATTATTAAGGCAATAAAGCCATTTCAAAGATTTGGTTATCATGAACTAATGGCACCTTAAGAGGATCAGTAGCACCCCAAGAGACTTCCTATTCTAAAACAAAAAACCCTCACTACTCCCTGTCATTCCCTATTAGTTAATTTCTGAAAGGATATGTGCTCAGAGCACCCTGCTTCCATGTGCAATTTTTATTGCAGGACAAGTGAAGTGATACAACTGCAGGCATAACTAGGTCATGAGAAGCTTCCTAAAGGACAATTCAAAAGAGAGAAGGGACCAAATATTATTTGACTACTGCAGGCACCTTAGGTAGTAATGACATTTGCAGCTCCTTTCCCTCTGTGGTTTCTAAGCTACCTTAGAGAACAGTGAGGAATGAAAAATGGCCTTAGAGAACTGCAAACCTTCCATCTGAATGGCCTATGTCTCCACACAAACAACCCAGAGAAATTAGTTATAACAAGGGAAAAGTGACTTTCAGAGTCAGCTTGCCTGGAAGCATCATTGGATGAGATTTTAAATGCATGTTGACAGAGGAACAGGCTGTGAAGACAGGTTTGCTACCTTCTACAGCAGATGAATTGAGAACATCAGCCATACACAATTTTTGTGGGTATCTCTCCTCTCCCCACCCCTTTGCCTGCTGTCAATCTCTATACTCTTGGCATGACATCATGGGAATGTAGGTTTGTTTAGTATCTGCTGGGGCTTGCAATTTAGCACACCAAAACAGCAGTATTATCAAACAGACCTTTGTTTAAGGTATGTATGCACCAAGAAGACTCTACCTTATCTTTCATCTCCTGTTTATTTTGGTTTTGCAGCAGTTGCCCAGACTCTTTAAATAATACTGTCACTGTAGATTATGAAAGCAGTGATGGTTGGGACAGATACCAAAACACACTAAGCTATAACACAGATTAATCCACACAGTTCCGATAGTGGGAAGGAAGCAGGAAGCGTGGAGACCTCTGATGGAATCATTCTCCTGTCTGTCCCTCAGGAATTCTCAGCTCTTACTCAGAATGAAGGAGATTTTCAAGCCCATAACTTACAAATACTTATGTGCTCAATTGCATGCTGCACAAGGGGATGAAGGATTACTGTGGTATAATTCATCAGAAGGGGGTACTTGTGCAGTATATGTGGGTGGAAGCAAAACAAAAAAGTTAAGCATTAAACATGAA